AAACTTTTAGAAATACATGCCACAAGGTAGTCAGAAAAAATATTTAAAAATCACCCACAAAAAAACTATCATCTCCACAAGCATTAATTTTATTCTAAACAAAGTAATGTTAACTGCCAATTTTAAAAGTGCTAGAACAGATACTATACTCAAGAAAGCCACATGTTCACTTACAGTGAGTTAATCATTAGCATCATCTTCCTGCCCAGAATGTAAATATATGGGAGTCCTAAATTTCTTTGTCTTCTTTGAAATTTCCAGGATTTTAAAATAGTACCCTTTGTAGACTGGCTTAAGTATATGCACTATTGAAAATGCATGTGAAGGTGTAAATAGCAAGATAATAACGTTTGCCTTTATGGTTCAAGAGAGTTAAATTGAAAGGTGGCTGCAAAGAATCTTGTGATACTGAGTGACTGTGCAAGCAAAAGGAATATGAAAATTAACTGCAGGTCACCACAAGTAATGGAATAAGAAAAAATAATCAATCCTCTTTACATGGATATAGTCAGTGGCTCTAAATTAGCTAATACCTCTAAGAAAAAATGATCTGAGAATGCCTGCATTTTCTTTTGGAAACTCACTTGCACTGAAAAAGATCCAATATATTTTTCTCATATTTCCTGTACTGGCATTGCAGTCCACCAAGATGTGTAGTGGTGGAACACAGGATCACTTTGTAGTTGATCTACTTGCTGGTTCCTTCAGAAGTAACTATTTCAAGAGCACTGTGTGTATATAAACAACCCCAGGCCTGCCACAACAAATTCATATTTGACTCATTAACACCAGACTGGTTCACTGCCTGTGCATAGCAGAAAAGGGGACACAGAGAGAGCTGCTTATCTCAATTTCCCTCAAATGAAGTGTTCTTCAGTGCTTAACTAAGCAAATTACTCAGATGGCTTCATAACACTCCACTGACTCTGGCAGAATTTCTTCATAATCTTCCTGGCAATTCAATTTCAGGTCTTCCAGGTGGTATATTCCCTCCCATGTACTGGAACTCATGCCAGGAGGAAGAGACAGGAAACACATGGGATATATCTCTCATCAACACTACCTGGTTAACTTTATGTGCATCATCCTCATAATCCTAAATTCAGCACACTCCAGTGTTACAGAAAATGCACAGGAATCTCAAGACGTGGAAATAAATAGCATGGGCTGCCATATCAGGAGAGCTGAGCAGCATTACTGCCAAGCTCATCCACTGCTCAGTGCTGGAGGCTTTATCTTGTCACACAGAAGCAGCATCAGTTCAACACCAGCCTAAGGAAATCCAGGGCCTCATCCACCTCCTTCTCAGAACTGGATCAGAGCCTGAAAATGTGAAAGTGACTCTTGAAAAGAACAGCCACCCAAGAAGTCACTCTTTGCATGTATCAACAAATTTCAAATGCTGCGATTGAAAGTGTTCTCACAAAATGAAATCTGTCACAAAATACGGCCCAATTCGTGGATTTTCAGAGTCTAGGAATATGACATTTATATAGGATTCCCTTCTGCATATCATTAAGGATAGAGGGAGATGACTGTTCAAAACACTTTGTGTGGAGTTGCGTTATTTGTATGTTTTATTATCCCTGTATTATGTATTGGTTTATTCCTTTGTGGGGCGGGAGCACGGCAACTTTGGCCTCGATTTAATTTCATTTAATTATAATGCTTTGCTTCATGGTTCATATTATGTTTTTTGGGTTTTTTTTCCTCTCTTGCTAGTAGAAGGCAGGGAGCCTTTTTAAAAAGAGAATCACATTTCCACATTTTGTCTTTTTCCTGGGAACTCTAAAATCAATACAAATCCAGACTTATGGACAAGATAACCTTTAAACAAAAAAAAAATTAAACTGAAGAAAGCTTTTCAGGAAGAATTACAGTGGTGGAGTACAAAATTAATGTCATAAATCCTATTATGCCATTAAGATAGGACACAATTTTAAAAATAAAGTAAAAATATATTAAAAATTATGAATAAATTATATCCATGTACTTGGTTTTGTTGGTTTTTCTTTAAAAGTAACAATTTAAAAAAAATCAAACAAATTACAGAGGCGTATTTGAAGCATATACTATTCTCTACAGAAACCTTATGATGGACCAATATTTTTCCAAATAGTTCTCTGGATACTCAATATTTTACCAGCTGCCAGAATATCTCCATCTTTTGAATAGAAGCCTATGTTTCTAGAAATGCAGATGCTTATCACAGCCAATACTGAAGTTTCAAGGAAGTTATCACTGGTACACTGATATTATCCTGGAAAACCATACAGAGACAAAGACATACACATATATCATTACACATGTATACATATATGTATGAATTTACTGAGTGTATAATTTTAATATTTTTTTAATTTGCTTTACTTCAAAGGTATTATTGTATCTGTTCTATAAATGGGAAACTGGAATAATGATGAATAATTTTATTCATTGGATCAAAGACAATTTAATGGAGATGCCCAAACTGTCCTCTGAGTGAGGAACCAGTCTCCAGGAGAGGCACCCTCAATTTTGATCCCATCTCAAAGGAGGGCTAATCACAAGGAAAAAGCCATGTTCTCTTTTTGCTTTCCTGCCAAGGGAGCTCTGTGACTTTGTGGTAGGCACTTTCAGCTGAGGACATAAGGAATTCGGTATGTACTGTTCTCATAATCACACAGGTACAGAAAGACTAAAGAAAACTGGCATTTAAAGCCTTGGAGCCCCAAACTGAAATGAAACTGCAAACTCCTGGATGTTGCAAAGAGAGCTGCTGCTGAATTCCTGACATATGTAGGCTACAGAAATA